ATACGTGTTGTATTGCATATATTACTATAGCGCTATTGCGCTATCTTTATATTTACGTCCAATACGTGTTGTATTGCATATATTACTATAGCGCTATTGCGCCATCTTTATATTTACGTCCAATACGTGTTGTATTGCATATATTACTATAGCGCTATTGCGCCATCTTTATATTTACGCCCAATACGTGTTGTATTGCATATATTACTATAACGCTATTGCGCCATCTTTATATTTACGTCCAATACGTGTTGTATTGCATATATTACTATAACGCTATTGCGCCATCTTTATATTTACGCTTATATCGGATGCCGTATGTACTCACCTTGGCGGCGACCTTGGCTGACATGCCGAAAGCTTGACCACGGTTTGCCATCTTGTTTGATATTCGTTCCTTACAAACTGAAGTGACTTAGCTCACTGTTCTGTAAATAAATGTAATGATAAACATGTATAAATATTAAATATACGATAAATCATAAAAAGATTAATAAAAATCGTGTTTATTTGGTAAATTATCGATAGCCTAGGCATACGTTTGAGTCTTTATCATCGGCTTGTGAATTTGCATTTCATTGGAAACCTGATTTCACACGAGTCTAGGCGAATGTTTAAAGTCACGAGGCTTTTGAGCTCAAGTTTATTGAAATAAACCTAAGAAAGATCGGGTAGATTAGGCCTAGTGAACGCTGAAATTTTGATAATGAAGTTTTGCCCACTTCTCGGTTTTTATTCAATACTGATAAAATAAAAAATAAACTGCTAGATTTCGTTAAAAGTACATTTACACATAAAGCTGAGTATATACACTGCAGGAGCGTTGATAGCTGTTTATGGAAGTGGCAAAAAGTAAAAGTATCGGTGATATAATATATCCAGGCGTTAAACCTTATATATTTTTACTGGCACGTCTGTGACGTTTGCCGCCATAACTATTATATATATATATAATAAATAATATTGAGAGTGAGCACCCTACTGTGTTAGTAGGTGTATAGCACCTATTTGTTCTCACTGTACAACTCGATAGCATGCGATATTAGGTAACCACGCGCGTCAGTACGTAGTAATGACAGCGGCTACTATAACAGGTCTTCCACCGCTCTAGCTGCTAATTTCGTCTCAGCTTCAGTGATGCGCGTGCCTATGGAGAGGCTGAGGAGCTGTGTGCAGGCGAGAGTAACATAGCACCACAGCCAGCACCACGCACATACAACACACACACACACACGCACACACACACACACACACACACGACTCCACACACGACACACACACACACACACACCACACACACACACACACCACCAGACACACACATAACACAGCACACCCCCCCCCCCCCCCCCCCCCCCCCCCCCCCCCCCCCCCCCCCCCCTCCACGCTCACACTCACGCCTCGTCCATTGACTATCCTAACACAAGCAAACACTACGGACGAAAGATAACACTATCGGTGTAGGGTTACACTACAAGAAACATTACACACGCAAGATAATTACTATCGGTGTAACGGGTTACACTACAAGAAACATTACACACGCAAGATAATACTATCGGTGTAGGGTTACACTACAAGAAACATTACACACGCAAGATAACACTCTCAATGAGAGGTTACACTACAAGAAACATTACACACGCAAGATAAAACTCTCGGTGTAAGGTTACGCTAGAAGTAAACGCTACATACGTAAGGAAAGACTATTAATGAATGAAAACCAATATAGAACGAGGACACTAAAATCCAAAGGAAATATTACGCTATCAATGTAAGGAATTACTAGAGCTGAATACTATAGACGTAAGGCAGTACTATCAAAGAAAGGCAACAATGTTAACGAACGGAAACACTGTTAAGAAAGGAATCACTGTCATTGAAGGAAACTCTAATAACTCAAGGAAAGCAAATACTATCAATGTACAGTTAACATTACTGACGTGAGTAACACTAACACCAAATTTAAAATGTGGCATTATTATGGTAAGAAAACACTACTGATGTAGGGTAACACTAAACCCGCAAAAGGTAACATCAATAAAGTAGGAAAAGAGTATCAATATAAAGGAAACAATACAGATATAGGAAAACACTATAAACACTGCACGCGTAGGTGAACACTCATAGAAATACTACGGGCGCAGGAAAACACTTATTGAAACACTACAGGCGAAGGAAAACACTCATAGAAACACTACAGGCGTAGGAAAACACCTAAAGAGACCTTCCGGTCTAACTAACACGATCAGCGTAAGGTAACGGTGATCAGGACGATCACAGACGTCGTGCCGTCGCTCCAGCTCTTCCGCCAGCAGCAGCGCGCAGCAGCAGAGCATCCTCACACTGACAGCTGTTTCGGATCACAGGTACACATGCAAGCGCGCCGCGCGATCGCGCTCCGTGGCACGACGAGGGCCGAACGAACGACGAAGAGAAGCCAGGAGAAGAAGAAGACACATCTCTCTCTCTCTCTCTCTCTCTCTCTCTCTCTCGTCTCTCTTCTCTCTCGTCTCTCTCTCTCATCGCTTTCTCACCCTGTGAGTGTGGCGACGGCTGGTCTCTCCCGTGCACTGCGACGACTGAGTGAGGGCGGCTCTCTCCTTCTTCTTTTAATACTTCCCCGTAGCCGTCACCGCCGGAGGACGCGCGCCCCTTCACGGTCACGTGCACCAGAGATTCCCACCACACACCCACGCACCACACACACACACACCACAACACACACATACACACACACACACACACGCACAACACACACATACACACTCGTACGTACGTAGATGGGGGTGGGTGTGCTACGTGTTGATGGTGTCCCTCCACCTTGCCTCAGCGCGTCCATAAACAGCAACACGAGGCGTGTGCAAAGTAGGGCCATGTATTGACATTCGGCGATGACGAGCGAGAGAGAGAGCGAGGGGAGAGAGGGGGAGAGGGTGAGCAGGGGGAGAGGGGGGAAATGGGGGAGATACAGAGCAGACCTGGCAGATTACTGATGGATGCGGAGATTAGCCGGAGATATGAAGGAAGCTAACACCGACACGCTGCCACTCGCACACACACACACACACACACACACGAACACACACACGCACGTGCGCCACTCGCACACACACACACACACGCACGTACGCACACACGCACGCACGAACGCACACGCTACGTACGCTGTTTAACCGTGCATGTCGGCGATTCCCACACATTAATATTACGCGTAAAAACTCATGAGGGGTGAGCGAAGATTGGTCTGTATACACACACAAACAGAAGGCCAGGTATAGGAAGGCCTGGTTCAATTAACGATGAATTAACAATCCTTATTTACTTTGTAGAATGGCGTCTGCAGATCACATCTCATAATAATTCCTTTGATGATTTCCCCGCTTGCTTTGGTCTTGCCCGAAATGTATAAAAAGAGCGAAAGACAGAGTGGAAGTAGAGAATGCAAATACGAAAGAGCTAGAGAGGAGAGAGAGAGGAGAGAGAGAGAGAGAGAGAGAGAGAGAGGGAGGGAGGGAGAGAGACGAGCGAGAGAGAGAGAGACAGAGAAGAGGGGGAGAGAGGGAGAGAGAGAGCAGGAGAGAGAAAGAGAGAGAGAGAATAGGAAGAGAGAGAGAGAGAGAGAGAGAGAGAAGAGAGAGGAGAGAGAGAGAGAAGAGAGAGAGAAAGAGAGAGGAGAGAGAGAGAAAGAGAGAAAGAGAGAGAGTAAGCGATCGAGAAGGAAAGCAGCAGAAACTGAGAGATGAGCGAACGTAAGAGCAAGCGACAGAGAATGAGAGATAGGTGAAGAGTTAGAGATCCATTTATTTTTTTATGTTTAATGAAGTGTGAGCGTGGAGTGAATGCTGCTTGCGCTGGGCACATGTTGTGCAACCTTATACATCTACCACGCTACCGCAAGATGCCATCTTCCCTAGATGGTTCCCTAGCCTGCAGGAGCACGCGGTATGCTAATTACGTATATAAACTTGGTGGCAGTCTAGAAGTCGGCATCTTTGCCAGCACCCGGTTCTGTCTATAATCCGAACGAGGCGGGTTTGATATCCGTTCTCATCACTGTCAGCGTCAACACCATAGTCAAGGTCAACCTCATCATCATCAGCATCAGCAGCAGCAGCAGCAGTAACAACAGCAGCAGTAGCAGCAGCAGCAGCAGCAGGCAACGGCAATTGTATAAATATCAATATTATCAGTGCCATTACCATTATCAACATCAACATCAGCATTAACATCAACATTAACATCAGTAGCAGCATTAGCATCAACATCAGCAGCAGCATCAACATCAGCATCAAACATCACACAGCGCATCACATCAAATCAACAACAAGCATCAACATCACAGCAGACAACATCAGCAGCAGCATCAACATCAACATCAGCAAAATCAGTTTCATTACAATGTGAAACGCGCTTGTTTCTATGTGTCAACGGCGATGAGCGAGTGTCATTTATTAAACAGATGGCATAATAAAAAAGAGAGCGAGGGAGAGCGCGCGAGGGAAGCGCACGCGAGAGAAAGAGAGAGAGCTAGAGAGAGGCAGAGAGAGAAAGAGAGAAGGCTAGAGAGAGGCGGAGCGAGAAAGAGAGAAGGCTAGAGAGAGGCAGGGAGAGAAAGAGAGAAGGCTAGAGAGAGGCGGAGCGAGAAAGAGAGGGGGAGAGAAAGGCGGAGCGAGAAAGAGAGAAGGCTAGAGAGAGGCGGAGGCGAGAAGAGAGAGGCTGAGAGAGGCGGAGGAGAAAGAGAGAGGCTGGAGAGAGGCGAGAGAGAAAAGACGCGGAGAGAGAGCGCGCGAGAGAGGCGAGAGAGAAAAGAGAGGGGGAGAGAAAGAGCGAAAGAGAGCGCGCGAGAGAGCGCGCGCGAGAGAGAGAGAGAGAGAGACGGGGGAAAGGCAAAAGTGTAGGTCTGTGTGTGCGTGCCTTCGTTCATGCGTGCGTGCGTGCGTGTGTGCGTAAGTTAGCTGCTTGTTGGTGTTGATGATTTATGTGTGTGTACTTTTTAATGTTTTTATGGCAATCGTTATTGTTATTTTAGCTGTGTTTTTGTTGTTTGTTTGTGGAGAAAGAGAACCTATATGCTATCATGTTTGGGCTAGTATCCAAGCAAACATGTGTGATACGAAATATGGCTGAATCCTACCGCAAGCATTAAAGCCTTGACCCTCTTCATCTAGGCTAGGAAGTAAGGCATTCTCATGCTATAGGCCTTTCCATTAACTGTCCTGTTTATTTCTTCTGTCTCTTTCTTATCCTATCTTCCTTCTATCTTTTTTATATATTTTTCTTGTATTTTTCTTGTATTTTTCTTTTTTATACATTTCTTTATATTTTTCTTTTTCTATCTCCTTTCTCGGTGTAGTTATGCACAGTAGCGTGCGTGTGCTGACATAGTTTGTCATGAGGGACATTTGGATTGCATTTATCTATAATTATTAGGCGATATAAATTACATGAGCGTAGAAGCCTTAACGGCGAATATGAAATGCGTGTGCCGCCAGCGTCGCAGAACCTGCAACTCATTCTATACCGATAAGGAGCCGAGGTGTTGACAGGTAGTTATGCTCGGAGATGAGTCTTTGATGTTCGGTGATGTACCGCCCCGGGCTGGAATCAACACATCGATATATAATGATGATGATGATGATGATGGTGATGATGATGGTGATGGTGATGATGATGATGATGATGATGATGACGATGATGATGATGATGGTGATGATGATAATGATGATGGTGATGATGATGATGATGATGATGATGATGATGATGATGATGATGATGATGATGATGGTAATGATGATGATAATAATGATAATAATAATAATAATAATAATAACGACGACGACGACGACGACGACGACGACGACGACGACGACGAAGACGACTGCAACGATGATGATGATGATGATAACGATAATGACAATGACGACCACGACGTCGACGACGATGGTGATTATAATGACAACGACGACGATGATGATGATGATGATGATGATGATGATGATGATGATGATGATGATAACGATGACGATGACGATAGTGTATTATTACATAAGCCCGATGTTGTTTTTTCGAATTTTTGATTTAAGAGTTCTATACGTTTAAGTTGATTTTCGCTATTCATAATTCACGTATTGCTCATGGCGTGTAAGGTTGATCCTGGGTTTCACCACTACGAAAACTGCTAACCCCTGATTAAACTTTGACCTAATTCGATTTAAGCTCTACCAGTGATCAGTGCGTTAAAGACATTATTTTCAGTCGCCCTGATATCGGTAGCAGTTAATTCTGATGTATAAGCGACAGGTTGCCTGTAATCCTATTACCGGGTATACGTACTAAAGGATTGGTCCGTGTTGGAAATAACTGCTTTTACGCTTTACCGCTTTCTTGCCACTGTAATGCAATTAGAAGCAATGCTCTCTTTATTGAACGCAGATTCTTGCTTGCGCGTGCGTGCGTGTATGTGTGTGTGTGCGTGTGTGTGTGTGTGTGTGTGTGTGTGTGTGTGTGTGTGTGTGTGTGTGTGTCCTGAGTGTCCGCGTGCGTATGGTGAGAGTGCGTGCGTACGTGCGCAGTACGTGCGTGCGTGGTCGTGCATGCGTGCGTGTATAATGTGTGTGTTGTATGTGCTGTGTGTATGTGCGTGTGTGTAACGTGCGTGCGGCGTGTGTGTGTGGTCGTGCGTGCGTGCGTGCGGCGTGCGTGCGTGCGTGAATGCGTGCGTGATAAGTGTGTGTGTGTGTGTATTTGGGTGATGTGCGTGTGTGTGCGTGGTTCCCCGTGTTTGTGCGTGCGTGTGTGTCACAGCAGCAGGCAGACCCATGCAGGACACCACGCATCAAGCAGCAGGGTGGCACGCGTGACAGGTACAGGTGACAGGTGACAGGTGACGAGGCTGCGTAGTTGTCACCTCACACCCGCGACGGCTGTGAGAGCTGAGAGCGGGCGTCATAGGCAAACGTCAGCATGGTCATTCTAGCAGGGGTGCTGGATAAGGCTCCCTGAATCCCTCCTACTATCAACTGATTCCCGTCTACTAGGCGAGATGACACGCGCGGTTATCTTTAACTGCGTAATTTTAAAAATAATGTATCTTATGTGTCTATACTATTTAAAATATGTTATTATATAATTCAGAAGTAGCTAATAGAGAATACACGATTTCGGTTATACGGAGCTAAGGCGAATGCACTGTTACAATTGAGAGCTTAACGTTGGTTGAGTTACGCGGTAGTAAATCGTAGTAATTTCTAAGGCTAGTAAACTGACGAATTCCCCTTGTTATGCAAGTCACCCTTCCTCCTACTTATCTACTCTGATATATATGATATATATGTGTGTTGTGTGTTGTGTTGTGTGTGTTGGTGTGTGTGGTGCGTGTTGGGTGCTGTGTCTGTGTGTGTGTGTGTGTGTGGTGGTGTGTGTGTGTGTGTGGTGTGTGTGTGTGTGTACTGACTGGTTTACGCAAGCGGAACTTAACATGCGAGTATTCCCTAGAAAACCCCTCTTCATTTAAATCTCCATTGTAAAAATCTGATCTTACATGTTTCACTTGCTCGCAGCACTCGCGCCCGAACCGATTCGCGCA